GGCTTCAATTTGACTGGATCCCTGGTTGTGGTCTCGATCTTGTGTTGCACAATGTCTGTCTTTCCTGGTTTATCCATGAAGATATCTGTGTACTGGCATAGTAGGTCTTCTAACTTTTTTTTTGCTTGCCAGACACTCTCGTTCAATCACGGAGTAGTTCTTCTCACTATTTAACAGCTTTTTACTTATATATGTTACTGGAAACAGTCCATCTTCATGTTCTTGTAAGAGTACTGCCCTAATTCCAATGTCCGAAGCATCAGCCTGAACAATAAATGGTTTGTTGAAGTCTGGCATTCTAAGAACTGGTGAGCTTCCCAACATGTTCTTTAATTTCTGGAATGCCACTTGGTGTGGTTGTTCCCACTTCACTTTGTTGGGCAAGCCTTTCTTGGTCAGGTAAGTCAATGGTGCAGTAATTTCAGCATAATTTGGGATGAATTTCCTGTAGTATCCTGCTAATCCAAGGATGGATCTTACTTGCTTGGTCATCGGAGTTAGTGTATCTTGTATGTGGATTATCTTTTCCTTTTCCATGGCTATCTATCGGTCCCCACTTTATCTCCATCAAACTCCAGCACAGGATATCCGATGTAGCACTTGGATGATCTGATGGTGAGGACTGCTGCTCTCACTTGCTGGAACAGTTGTCTAAGTCTCTTCAGATGGTCTTCCCATCTTGCAGTGGATCAGAATGTCATCCACATAGTGCTCGATGTTGGTGGCGGTGTGCAGAATCCCCCTCATCATGCAGTTGAATGTTGTTGGAGAATTGATTAATCAAAATGGCATGCGCTTAAATTGGTAACATCAATCTGGTGTCATAAATGCTATCTTCTCTCTAGATCCCATCTCCATTGGGATTTGCCAAGAACCTTTACTTTGAAAAGAACCTGGCCCCATCTAGTTTTGCCATGATGGCCTCTGGTTTGCCCATAGATTCAGTACTGAACTAGCCCGGCATGGCCAGGTGGATAAGGCGCTCGACTCACAATCTGAGGGTCGCGGGTTCGAATCCGCATCCCACCAAACATGCTCGCCCTTTTAGCCGTGGGGGCGTTATAATGTGACGGTCAATCCCACTATTCGTTGGTAAAAGAGTAGCCCAAGAGTTGGCGGTGGGTGGTGATGACTACCTGCCTTCCCTCTAGTCTTACACTGCTAAATTAGGGATGGCTAGCGCAGATAGCCCTCGTGTAGCTTTGCGCGAAATTCCGAAACAAACAAACAAACAAACAAACAGTACTGAACTTTATCACGAGGTTCAGCTTCTGGAAGTTTATGCAGAAATGGTTTGATCTATCCCTCTTCTTCACGATTATAACTGGTGAACAGTAGACTGAATTTAAACGATTGATGATTCCAGCTTTCAACATTGCCTCAATTTCCTGCTTTATCAGATCTCTCATTGCATAAGGCATCTGATTGGGCTTCACTTTGACTGGATCCCTGGTTGTGGTATCAATCTTGTGTTGCACAATGTCTGTCTTTCCTGGTTTATCCATGAAGATATCTGAGTACTGGCACAGTAGGTCTTTATGTAACTCTTTATTTTGCATGCCAGTCAGTTCTTCGCTGATGTTTACATCTTTGTATGTTTCATCTCCATCTAGTGGTCTTAGGTCTAGCAGGTCCTCATCTTCTAACACAAAGTCACTGTCTGGATTCTGGATCTATGATGGCCACACCTGCAACATCTATCTCTGTTTCAATAGCTGCACCCATTAGGTCTACTTCTTTCCTAAAATACTTCTTCAACAGATTGGCATGGCAGATCTTGGTGTTCACATTCACCTTGTAGTCCATTCTGTTGAGTACTTCCTGTGCTTCAAAAGATCCTTTCCATTGCAGGGTGGGTTTGTTGTGGTCTATAGGCAGCAGATTTATGACCTTTTGTACAACCTTAAAACGTTGATCCTTGGCCTTCTTGTCATAAAAATACCTCTGACTACCTTGAGCTGCATACAAACTGTTGAGCAAGTTCACAGGTCTCTTCCAGTTAGTTTCTGAAGTCTAATACACACTGGTATGTGTTCCTTACTTCTGACTCTTCTACTCCCATCCATAGCTCTTTCAATATTTGCATCAGACCTCATACTGTTCTTCCATACACTAACTCGAAGGGTGAAAACTCTGTACTTGCTTGTGGGTTTTCTTGATAAGTGAATAATACTGCCTGCAAGTACCTGTCCCCAGTTATGTGATCTCTCTTGGCACATCTTTAGCATACTCTTTAAAACTCCATTGACTCTCTTGCAAAGTCCATTACATTTAGGAGTTTATGGGGTGATAAAGAGTTTCCAAGTGCTGATGAGTTTGCACACTTCCTGCATCAGTTCAGAAGGAAACTGTGTCCCTCTATTACTTATGATTTCTGTTGGAAAGCCTACTCTGCAAAATATCTCCAGGAGGGCTTCTGCTACTCTCTCTGTTTCTATCTTCACCAGTGCTGTTGCTTCCACATAGCGTGTCGTAGTCGACTACTGTCAGAACATACCGGTTTCCCTCCTCAGACACAGGCGCTAGTGGCCCAATCAAGTCCACAGCTATTCTGCTGAATGGCTCTTCTATGAGAGACATCTCCCCCAATGGCATTTTGGCTACCTTCCCTCTAGGTATTGTCCTTTGGCAGATGTCGCATGACCTGCAGAGTCTACTCACATCTCCGATGACTCCCGGCTAATGGAAGGTACTGGTGATTCTGTCTTCCCACAATTGATTCATGAGCCAACTTTTTCACTTGAGTCCAGTATTCTGTTGAAACTATGATCTGTTTAACTTCCCCTGTATAGTTGCCTTGATAGATTTGGTATAGAACTCCCATCTGGTCCTGTATTCTATAAGTATCTTTCCCCTTTGTTTTGTGTTCAGCTTTCTTCTGGGCTTTGTCCCAAAGTTTTTGCAATGAAGAGTCTTTCTTCTGTGTTTCCTTCAGTTCCTGCAAACCTAAATTCAAGAGATTATGAGTGCCCAACTAGCTCTCTCACTATCTGTGGTGTAGGAACCATCTGTGGCTATAACTGTCTACCATGATCTTCAAATAGATGGTGAAAGGCTTTTTTGCAAATAATTTGTTACAAATGGTGTAGTAATGTTACAAAAATGACTATAATGCATATCTATAATGCTTCAGAATTAAAAGTTGGTATATTTGTTATAAAATTTTAATTCCTTTCCCACTTACAAACATCCTTTCAGATGTTTTAGTTATTTCATTTTTAACCCTACTTGTATCACCTTGGATATACTTCCACCCCCCTCTACATTTGAAATCTGTATTACTCAGCACAGGTTGAGCAAGAATGACTGTGAAATAAGGCACTTTCTTCATTATTTTGACCATTTGTAACCACAAATCTGTCCTTTGAAATGCTTGTACTTTGCATTACGAGTGTTTTAATTCCTGTTTGTACTTACTTAGATACAAGATATAACTGCTTTCATGAAATGTGCAGAAAAGTCATAAAGTTCTATCCTTAAAATCTTTGGAAAATATTCATTCCACATGGGGACAATTGGATCTGATGACGATGCATTGTTTTAATGGGATTACGTATAGAACCTTTCCCTCAGAATCTTTCTATAGACAGATTGAAATATTACATAAGATAATAACCAACCTCACTGTCATTGTATTCTGTGTTGTCAAATAGAGATTCATAACAAGGGCTATGTTACGTGTCACACTAAGGATGCAAGTATATTATGTAGAGCAATTATTCAAGGGTTGGGGGAAGAAAGTATAGCAAACATGGAAGAAAGTAGTGGATCAGAAAGTGAAAGTGATACTGATTAGTTTTAAGAACAGTCAGAAGAAGCTTTGATGTTTTATTTAAATCAGAGCCAGCATACTCTGAAGATGATGCACTATCATGAAGATGGTGGGTAGGAGATGGTCAAGCTGCTAGAGATACAGCTTTGATGTTTTATTTAAACCAGAGCCAGCATACTCTGAAGATGATGCACTATCATGAAGATGGTGGGTAGGAGATGGTCAAGCTGCTAGAGATACAGCTTTGATTTCACAACTTCTGTAACAAAGAGTATAGAAGACTGCTTTACCACTGTCATGTATAGAATAGAGATGCTTCTAGATTTGTGCAGTCCAATGTTTGTTCTTCCAACAGATTTGCACTGATCTTGAGACAGCTAAGATTCACTGCAGAAGTCTCATCTTTGTTCTACATTCTTCAGTCTGCTGATCATAATTCTGCTCTTGTTTTATTTACCTTTTTAGTTAACTAGTTATTCATGTAGTTTTCTTTAATTTTCACTTTACAACATAATAGTTCTTCCACTAATCAATCAACTTTTTGTCATTCTCAGATAATAGCCTTTCATTTTTATTTTAACTTCAACACTGTCTTGCCTCTTTTATTCTATATCACAAGTCACCACACCTGTTTTTCCACATACTATGCTCACAAATTTCTAGTTGTTGCAGAGATTAGATAACTCTTTGCTAGGTTTATCCTTGAACTTGCTGTAGTTGTAATCCATAGATGGAACAAAATATGGACTTGGAAATTGTAATCTAGTAATATTAGGGTCATTTATAGGTTTGAAAGTGGTAATCCAAAAATAGAATATTAAAGTATTTGTTGGAAAGTCAGAGATGGGATCATAAACTCTAGGTTTGGAAGTGTTTATTTCATAGATAAGAGATTAAAAAATTAATAACTCAAAAGGGATAAAGTATAGAATAGAGAAAGTTAATCCAGAAGCAGGAACATGAAATATAGGCTGGGAAGTGTTATTCCATAGATGATATGGTAAAGTATAGATTGTAAAATGTTAATCTAGAGAAAAAGAGAAGTATAGGCAAGAAAGTGTTAATCTAGAGGTGATATGGTAAAGTGTAGTTTGGAAGTGTTAATATAGAGGTGATATGGTAAAGTGTAGTTTGGAAGTGTAAAGTTAGAGATAGAATGATTAGATATAGCTTGGAAGTGTTAAGCTAGAGATAGAATGGTTAGATATAGCTTGGAAGTGTTAAGCTAGAGATAGAATGATAAGATATAGCTTGGAAGTGTTAAGCTAGAGATAGAATGATTAGATATAGCTTGGAAGTGTTAAGCTCGAGATAGAATGATTAGATATGGCTTGGGAAATCTCAATCCAAAGA